GCTAACGGTGACCTATCCATTACAAACGACAGCATAACATCACAGAAACTAAGACTCTTATAAGGGAATAGAAATATGTCTTGATATACCTAGCTAACGGTGACCTATCCATTACAAACGACAGCATAACATCACAGAAACTAAGACTCTTATAAGGGAATAGAAATGTGTCTTGATATACCTAGCTAACGGTGACCTATCCATTACAAACTGGGCAGTGGCCGATATGACCTTTTCAGCCACGTCTTTACAGCCTGTCATACATCTCGATGGTCCCAGTTTTTCCACTGTCATTGACAGGAATTCTGCAGTTGTTCCCCGAACAGCAGCATTTCTATGGCTAAATAAATCAAGTAAAATCAATTTTATCTTTGCTTTGCTCTTTTAGGAGCTCTTTAACAGAGAAACATAATGATAATTTATGTGCTAGTAACATTCTCAAAACATTATATATATAAAAGAAGTATCTTGGAAACTTCTAATATAATAAATATGTGTTTGCTTAATACAAAGTAAAATAGTCTGATACACACAATTTTCACAACCTTAATTAATAATCATTAGATAAAGCAAGTTTATTTGTTTGTAGTTAAGCACAAAGCTACACAATGGGCTATCTGTGCTGTGCCCATAACGGGTATCGAAACCAGGTTTTTAGCGTTATAAGTCCGCAAATATAGCGCTTAGCCACTGGGGGGGAAGGGGTGATTGGGCGGGTGGGAGGCTTCAAGTCTAAAATGTAAATTACAGAACACGTGCAAAAAATTACAGTGATAGAACACGTGCAAAAAATACACATGAGGAGTAATTACGTCACGAAAGACGAAAAATGGAAAAGTAATTCAAAGAGGAAGGAGAGGAAAAATTAAAACAAATTTATAGTAAATAAATATAGTGTCTTCCATTATAATGTTTGATTTTTACTTTTAACTAAAAAAAAAGTTGCTTTAATTTTTCGTCAGTTGGTGATATTTTCTGTTTCCAGAAAAAAAAATGATTATGATTGTACATAAGTCGAAACTAGGACGAGGCTTTTAAAGACACTTCTAATATTGTTCAAAGCTGTCAATCACTGTCGAAAATTAAATACTTTATAACTCAATTAACCTAATTTTATTTCTGGGAAAACAAACTGGTCTTTTACATCTATTTCAGAATCTTTAACCAAATTAAAACAACATTTACTTAAATAATCTAAAAAAACAAGTTTAAGAGTAAATGATATAACAAAGTGGAGAACTTTCAGAACCTATGTATTCTGGCTTGGTGGTTAGGGCACTCGACTCGTAACTCGAGTATCGCGGGTTCGAATCTTGTCCCCAAACATTTTCAGCCGTGATAAATCGCACTATTCATAAAGAGCAGTCGGTACTTCAAAATTAGGGATGGCTAGCCCTCGAGTAGCTTTGCAGGTAATTCTATTATATTGTTATCTCTACCAAGTTAGAATAGAAATTACATTTTCCGATAAAATGGTATATTTTAATCCCAACTTGAAAACTGAGAGTCCGGTGTGGCTTAGTGTTAGACTATGATTCTGGGGGATCATGGTTCACAAAAAAGTATTGGTATCAGTCAAATCCCATTATATGGTAAGATAAAACTAACCCAAAATTGTTGGTGGGTGTTGTTAACCACCTGCCTTTCCTCTAGTCAATCAACTTAAAAATTAGGGTTTGGTTTGAATTTCGCCCAAAGCTACACGAGGGCGATCTGCGCTAGCCGTCCCTAATTGAGTAGTGAAAGACTAGAGGGAAGGCAGCTAATCAACACCACCCACCGCTAACTCTTGGGCTACTCTTTTACCAACGAATAGTAGGATTGACCGTCACATTATAACGCTCCCACAGCTGAAAGGGCATGCATGGTTGGTGGGACGAGGATTCGAACCCGCGACCCCACAAGTTGCGAGTAGAGCGCCCTAACCACCTGGACATGCCAGGCCACACACACACACAAAACTAAATCAGGGACGGCTATGCATTTAAAAACTCTAGAACAAATACTTTTACTTGTAAGAAAAACGATGTTTTACTATTCTCAAACCTCTGATTACGGTCATGGGAAGAATTGAAGTTGCTGTATAACCTTGAATGTCTGAAATGTATTATCTTTTAATAAGATGGCCGAACGCGACCAAGTGTTTAGCGTGTCGGACTGTCGATTTGTGATCCCATGGTTTGTGTCCCGTTACCACAGAAAAAGAAATCGCGCTCCACAATTTGGAGCCGTGGGTGCGTTATAAAAATGACAGTCAACTCCCGCTTTTCGGTCTGACAAGCGTAGTCAAAGTGTCGGCGATAGACGGTGTTAATTAGTTGCCTTCCCTGTTACTTCAAAATTGGGGACGACAAGCTGATAGTCCTCGTTTAGCTTTGCGAAAAATTCAAAAAATAAAAACCTATTCTGAAGGACATTAATTTACTCAGCGGTAGACTTAATATTGTAATGGGTTGATTTTAAGTATAAAAGAAATTGTCAATGAAATTTATAAATTTGTTTTACATGCGTGTTGTCAAACGACAGTTTTAATTTTATACGTGTTGAAACTCTGTTCAGTCTACTTTTTTTGCCTTATGGTGATGACAGGTTGACTTTGCAAAACATTCAGTAATCTTCACTTTGTTTTTATTATATAACTAAACGTTTAACTTTCTTTTACATGACAAGTTTTCTTCAAATTTATTTTACAATACTAGTTTATCAGTCTATGCTGTCAGTTGACTGATGATTTTCTAAATTTAGTTTTATATCAATAAATAAAATTTATAAATCTTCCCCATGTAAAATGCTCAACAAAAACATCAACCAACCTAGCTCCACCATCCACAATGGCCAAAGCTGCTTTCTGCAGTGACACTCCATCCACCAGATGCTTCAATGTCTTCCCTATGTCTTCCCGAATAAAACCGGCATTTTCTCCTGATTTGTGGAGGAGCGTTTTGGTAATGAGATCTAAGTCCTAGCGTGAAGAAAACAAAAACGGATGAGATCGCAATAAATGGATTAATAAATATATTTAAATTTAAACCTAGTTTTTAGTCAGCACAAATTTCTGTCAGAGTGTGGTTATTATGTTTATCGGAATATTCTATCATAGCTGCCCCCCAGTGGCACAGCGGTATGTCTGCGGACTTACAACGCTAGAAACCGGGTTTCGATACCCATGGTGGGCAGAGCACAGATAGCCCTTGTGTAGCTTTGTGCATAACAAACAAACAAACTATCATAGCTATTGCCTAAAATAAAACAAAAATTATACACGTGTTTCTCCGACAATAATTATAAATTATTTGTTACACCAACGTACCATCATAGGGTGTCCACACAAGATCAAGCACAGACATTGGCTTATAACGTAAATAGCCCAATACCTTATTTTAGATCGACGTAACAATTAAAAGAGCTGAGGAGGAGAAATCAAATTTATCGTACTATACTGAAAGACACTACTAGCGAAAAACAACAACAGCAATTATTAACAGTTTTGTTTGAAATACAAAGAACGAGAATTGACTCTACAATTTCGTTTTCGTTCATTTCAAATGTATAAATAAGAGGAAAATCAAGAAGGTCAGTGGAAAGTGAACTCAAATAAAGGTTTTTTTTCAGTACCATATTACACCATAACGCTAAAAGCCCCCAGGGGCACAGCGGTATGTCTGCGGACTTACAACGCTAGCATCCGGGGTTCGATACCCGTGGTGGGCAGAGTACAGATAGCCCATTGTGTAGCTTTGTGCTTAACAACGAATATCAAACATATGCTCCATTCCAATTACATAAAAAACGTGTACAAAAGAAGTTGTAAAAAAAAATTTCTAGCTGTCTTTACACCTGAAGAAGAAATGCCCACCTGTTAAGAGTGCTTAGGGTTTTATAATGTGTTTGTTTTTTAAGGTGATTTACCAAACTTTTCTTATCCTGTGCGTTTATTACTTTCGTGCACATACTTTCCGGGTGTGCTTATTCCTATTGAAACAAACAGACGAAACTCTGTTAATTATTGTCATCTACAATACTGATATAATTATAGCTCAGATATTTATAACATTTTCTATCAGTAATATTGTTTAACGAGAATTTGTCATTGTTAAATTGCACTGTAGTATTTAACGCCAAAGCAAGAGAAGTATAAATACTCTTATAGGGTAACGTGTGTGATTTAAATGCCAGGGTTAAGCGTGTCACAAAGGGTAGCGTGTCGGACTTTCGAGCTGAGGATCCTTGGTTCGCATCCCGTTGTCTAAAAAAATCGCGCTCCATACTTTTGGGTCATAGGTGCGTTATAAAAGTGACGGTCAATTCCCATTTTCCGTTCTTACAAGAGTAGCTCAAACGTTTGAAGTGGGTGATGTTGACTAAATGACTTCCCTCTATTAGATCACTTCAAAATTAGAGACGGCTAGCGCAGATATCCCTAGTGTGGTGTGAATATCAAGAGCAGGTATCCTTAGTGTGGTGTGAATACCAAGAGCAGGACTTCCCAACCCAACTCCATAATCTTGTGTTGTGTCAAACGTGCCACAT